GCTGAAACAATCCTTAATTGGCTCACCTTTTAGAATTGAGTGCAATGTGTATAACCTCACTGTGAGTTCAGCCATCTACAGTCAAGACACCCAGTATGATGTGTTTACTCCGAAAGAGAACAAAGGCTTTCCCCTGGGCTCATGTCACATAATCAAATTCTAAACGGGTAAACTCCATCCTAGTGATGAGGAATAACTTTTGAAAAACAATTTCATTTGAAAACAACCATTTTACCTGTACAGAGAAAATGTTAACCACTATAATTAGTGAAGAAAATTTGAGTGGAAAGAGAAAATTTAGGGTTTTGGTTTTTTAAATTATTCTCTTGGATTCTCTGGCAATTAATCCCAGGAACTATTGGCAGGGACGTGGTTCTCTCTTTGTGAGATGAGTGTGGAGGATAACATTGATTCTGCCAGGCTGCAAGGAAAATTACATAAGTGTTATTTAAGTTGTTTTGATTTGAGCCTGTGTCATTTTAATCATTCCGAAAGGAATTGACAGTTTTATTAACATAAAAGAAAGCTGTTATTAACTTATTATAGATTCATTTTGATGTTGAGTTTGGAAAAAGGTTTAGTTTCCCATTAAATTAATTAAGTTACTTATACCTGTCATAAATATTATTGTGGACTTGTCATTTTGTTTTGTGTTTTTTTCAATAACCTTTTGGGTTATAGTTGGATAATGTAGGCAGAGACTATTATAGCAATTTGTTTTATTTTTATTGCCATCTATATTTTCTATCTATTAATAACCAACCTTTGAATAAAATGATGAATTTTTCCAAAATAATTGTTTTGTCTGCCATTAAAAATTTACTCATAATTTTTAATTTAAAAGAATTCTGTATCTTTGACGTCTTGCATGCTGTTTGCACTATTATATATCTTGCTTTTTTATTTTTTAGGTATTGGAAGAAATTTCATGTTACCCTGAGAATAATGACGCAAAGGAACTAAAGCGTATTTTAACACAACCTCATTTCATGGTAAGTAACAAGTAAATTCCCATAGAACTAAAACCTTACTTTTAAAAGAAGTTTTTAATATTATAATTTTTTTCTTGTTAAATTATAATTGGTATACAATGTTATATTAGTTTCAGGTATACAACATACTGATTAATATTTATATACTTTACAATGTGATCACCACGATAAGTCTAGTAACTATCTGTCACCATGCAGTTGTTATGATATTGACAAATTCCCTGTGCTGTACACTACATCCCCATAACTTATTTATTTTATAACTGGAAACTTGTACCTCTTATTCCCCTTCACCTTTAATAAAGAATTCTCTGAACCTAGGTGATATATTTATTGGAAGAATTACATCTCTTAACAATGTAGAACTTATACTTTATTCATTTGTACTGTGTGGAAAACAGGGATAGCACCTGTATTGGGCCAATTATTATAAAACTAAATGGTTCAACAGAACTCAAAATAAATGAGATAATTTTCTGTAGAAGAAGGTCCATAGTTGTCTGCTTAACCGATATTCGAAAGCGTGATTACAGATGAAAATTCACATTGAATATAACATTTTTGAAACAGCCACATTAGTATATATAGAGAGTGGAAAATCCAAGTATCTGCCCTTTGGGAGAAAATCTGACTTAAATCTATGTTTTTATTACTACTATTGCGGTGATATTTTTAAAACAATAGTAACAGTATATAATAAGTAGATAATACCAGTTACTGTGAGTTTTGATATACATAGTACTTTGTGATAATACAATGTTTTTAAAACTTTTACCCAGTCATTGAAATAGAATTTATCCTCAAAATGACCACCTAGAAAGAAGCAATCATTGTATTCACCCTAAATCTCACAGCCAAGCATGAAAGGCTGAACTCAAGTATAATCTTTGAGAATATTTGGCTTGATTCTATATAACAGCAACACTCTCCAGTGAGTTACAGGAAACCAGGTTCTATCTGCACCTGTTTGTATTCACCTGTGTAACATTCTAATACATACTGGCCTGCCAAAGCCAGTCCCTTCCCCAGTGGATGAGCACATCTCACCTCAGCTTAGCTCTCACTGAATTTATGATCTCATTTAATTGTTGTTATTACCTGTTTCACAGACCAGGAAAATGAAGAAACTCTATGCCATAGTAGTATCCTCAAGTATGAGAAATCACAAATGTCAGGAGTTAATTACCCTTAATATTACCTTGTTCCCTGATTGTTTCATGTGTAGGCCATGTTCCCCCAGATTATAATGAATTCCCCTTTAGCTATCATGTCTTATATGGTGTAAAAGTGGTTAAAGCTGTGGACTCAGATAGACCTGTGATTGAACTCCAAACTTGCACTCCTAGTTCTGTGAAATCTGACTCTCTGAGCCAACCCCATGGAATTGAAGTAAGAATTAAGTAGATGATACATCTACCATGCTTAGCACAGTGCCTGACAAATGCTTGACGCTTAATAAATGTTAGCTAATGAACATTATTAGTTACTCCATAGTATCTTATCATGTGCAGAGTACATAGTATGTTCTCGGTAAATTATTGACTAGATTAGGAATGTGCCCATTTGCAGATAGATTAGCCTCGCCTCAACTGCTCTGTGCAGTGTGTTTTCCATAGATAGAAATCTGTACATTTTGGACAGACAGGTCTGTCTATAAATTGCTAAGTAAACTCAGCTCAAGTCAGAGAATGATATATGATTATTTGAGACCAGTAGATCTTTCAGATTTGATGTAGGCAAAATAAAGAAATTAATATATATCCAAAATACAGCCTTTTTTAAGGTTAAAGTTTTTTTCAAAACCACTAATGCCCAGATAGCCCTATGTCTCACAACTTATCTACCTTCGAAGTCTTAATTATTTTGCTTTTCTGAAGTCAGAGAAAAGTTAATATGTGTACTGTTATTAGTAAACATTTTCAGAAATAATAAATAATTCTTAAAATTTTTGAATACCTAGCTCAATGTTTAAAAAACATTTTCATTCATTCATCAAATATGTGCCAAGCACCATGCTAGGCTCTAAAGATAGTGGTGAATAGGACAAACAAGATCCCTCCCTTCATAGAACTTCCATTCTAGTGAGGGTGGGGTGAGGGATGGATAGGTGAGCTAGAGACAGATGGAGAGCAAGTAAACTAACAAGATAATTTCATATAATGATAATAACTATGAAGAAAAGAAAGGATAATGGGGCAGAGATGATAATAAAGTGGGAACTACTTTAGATAGGGGGAAAGCCTCTAAGGAGTTAACACAGGAGCTGAGCCTCCTTATATGAAAGAACTAACCTTCTGAAGTCTAAGCCTGGGGAATAACAAATGCAAAGGTCCAGAAGCAAGAAGGAACTTTATAGGCTCAAAGTACAGAAAGAAGGCCATTGTGGCTGGGATATAGTAAACAAGGGAACAAATAGTACAAGAAGAACTAGAAGAGGGTGACACAGGCCAGACCATGTAGGGCCTTCCAGGCCATGGTAAGGAGCCTGGATTTTCTCCTGATTGCAGTAGGATGGCACTGAGTGACTGCAAGCAGGAAAGATCAGATCTGTACTTTAGAGATTTCTGATTTCTGGGGCTGCTGTGTAGAGAATGGACTACAGGGAGGATAAGTGTTAAAAGAAGGAGACCAATTAGGTAGGAGGCTGCCGTGGGAGGGTAAAGGCTTGGAGAAGGATGGGGCTGGTGGAAAATGGGCAGATTGAGACTCTTCAGTAGAGATGGTTGAATACAACAGGACTTGCTAATGGTTGGGATATGAGGTGGTATAACTAACCCCTTTTACAGTTCACAGAGGAAACTATGCCCTGGAAAGGTAAAGAGGCTTGCTTGAGGTCACCCATCTAGTAAGTGGCCTCCTTGAGGTTCAAAACTCAGATTTTGCTGGCTCCAAAGCCCATGCTCTTAAAAGTGGATGGACTTGTAATGAGGATCCATTTTCCAATAAACTTAATTTGAGCTCATTGGTCATTCCCAAATAAGCATATGTTTGGATAATGTCCCATGTGGGGAAAAAAAAAAATTCCGAGCTATATACACTATGTTAAATAAACTGTTAAATGCTGAAACTTTCTATCTTATAAGCATTTTAAAATCATGATTTCAAAATCTTGGTATTTTTAAATAAATATTAACAGTTAAAGGAAAATATTTTAATGCTTATGTTTTTATTATGCCAAGGTTTGGAAGTTATTCTTAGCATATTTATAATTTCACACTTATTTGTTCAATTCAATTATCTGGCTTTTTCTTTGCTTTCTGATCATTAAAACATGAGGGTTTAATATCGAATTACCTAACACTTAAAAATATATATACTCGTAAATGTTTACAGTATTTAAAGGAAGAGTAAATAAGTGTAGATTTAAATGATTTTTAAAGTCTTACTCTATCTTTAAGGTAATGATTAAAAATATTATCGTACTAATCTCTTTTTCAGTTATTCCATTTGAAAGACTGGTTTTTTTAAAAAAAGAACAAATTCTTTGCTTATTGCAATTATAAAATATAAAGCATTAAGGATAGAGGCAAATATTCATAGAAGTTTATGCTTTAATTTTTTAAGAAATCAAATCTAAAACAGAAGGTTTTAAAAGCAAATTTGTATCCTACTTTCCAAAAAACAAGATGGTTAAAATCACTTTAGTTGTCATGAAAACTTCATTAAGTGGTAAAGTTTATGATTTATAATTAAAAAGCCAGAGGAACCACTTTTGAACCTAAAACTCACATTTTTCCTATTCATTATAAAGTAGTCAGATTTTTTTTCACTCTCATCTGAAGTTGTTAGTTGTCTTGTCCATATCCTTATTATAGTACAAAAAGTGAAAGTGTTTCTTTCCTATTACGTGATTCTTCTTATGTAATTAAGAATAACAGCTATTTCAGCTTAGTAACAATTGCTCAATCATACCTCATAACATATTTGAAGAAAAATATTCAAACTTTGATTTTCCTATTTTTTATTGGGCATACTCTTTTTAATGGCTTTTTTTTTTTTTAACAATCTGTAAGTGACCCCCTTTTTTCTGTTCTCATATGTATCAGAACCTCAGGTTAAGTTTCATTTTATGGTAGCAGTCTTTTACAGAGGCAAGTTGTGGTTAATATCAAGTATGACCTCATTCAGTGACATAAATTGAGCATTTTTTTTAAAGGTCAATTGGAGCATTTTGTGATTGTGGGCTTATCCTTCCTTATATGTAATACATTAAATACAAGTGTTTGCTTATATATTTAAAAGGGAAAAAATCATTTGCAAAAAGCAGCATAAACATTTTCTCCAACCCATGTAACTGACATTATAACCTGATGAAAGCTTGGTTCTCTGTTTACCTGGCTATATATCCTCCATTCATACAAAGCATTTTTTTTTAAATTTACTAATTATGGAAGACACGTCTATAGTTGATTCAATTAACCTAATTTTAGTGGATGAAGTTTTTCAGTTTGCCTATTACTGATTTTTGCTTCTTGCCCTAAGTCTTAGTCCTTTGAGTAGCCACAATTAAAGTGGAAAAAGAGGGATTTACCCACATAGCACAACCTCCACAGTTGTGCTTGGGGTACCAGTGCAGAGTGTAGTCAGGCAATGGTCAGGAAACCAAGGTCCCAAGGGCCATTGTAGAGCCCTGCTCTCCAGCTGTGCACTGCTTAGTGCCCCCTCAGTGCCCCTCACCCAGACCCCAGTTAAGGCCAGCCCTCTGAAATCTTGGAAATATCTGCAATTTCCATTAGAAAGCCAAATGCATGTATCACTCCAAGGACATACTCTATTGATGACAAATTAACACCATCTTCTTTATGAATTTACTGCATTGTTACTTTATTTTTGCCTCATATGCATGCCTTTAAAATTAAAATTGCCAAGTCATAACTTTAATAACTTTTAAATAACTTTTTAAATTTAAATAACAATTTGAGATACTAAGGGTTATACTTTTAAAGCGGTTTTAATTGTATTTCATTATCTCCAGATATTTCATTACCACACAGATCACAGAGTAAAACAGAACTGAACTTATAGTTAGCATACAAGAAAACATAATCTATGTAAAGCTCCAAACATACTGATATTCAGCTGTAAAATTATCTTTGAAGTAGAAATGTTCAAATATTCATGCCTATTAAAAACTTTTATGATGGGACCAAAAGTACAGTAAGTAGAAGAATATCCTTTTTTAGGGAAACAAAGGATATTTGTTATCTAGTTTCACCGAGATGACATATGCAGATATCAATACAAAGAAATCATTTGTTCTTTGTTAACATGGTTTGCAAAAAAAAAGTCGTAATTGTCAACTTATTTTTCATTTAGTCAAGTGCTCTAAAAAAATAGAAATGACTAAAAACATTAAATAAGTTTAGATTTTGAGCTCCATATCATATGTGATATTTGGGAAAATTACTTTTTTTTTCAGGTATACTTGTGTGTTTTTTTATTTCTTTTACTAAGACATGTTACAAATTATCTTCATCCTATGGATTATATAAAAGTTATTGTTAATACCACCAATGAAAGATATTTGCTCAATACACCAAATATTACACTGGTTCTTTTTAAATTTATTACGTTTATAAGCCCCAGCACAATTTGCCACCTCTGTTTACAAGATGACTCTTCTAAATTATTTGAAATTGCATTATGTCAACCTTTATTTGAACAAGTTAGTTGGTACTTTTTCACAGCATCAGATCACACCTCAAACCCAGGTAATCAACAAACATATCCATTCATTTACTCATTTATTCATTTGTTTATTCATTTTTTTAATCCATCTATCATGATTATTTGTCACAAAGAAATCAAGGTATGGTTGTATCTACGTGTAATGTGCTTTGAGTTCTCTGTTGATGAGAGATAACTTTGACAGGTAAAGAATAGTTTTATATATGTTAATATAATAGATTTCTGTTGGAATAGTACTATTATTAATATCTTACTTCTTTCATAAAATACCAGGCCTTACTTCAGACTCACGATGTAGTGGCACATGAAGTTTACAGTGACGAAGCACTGAGGGTCACACCTCCTCCCACCTCTCCCTATTTAAATGGTGATTCTCCAGAAAGCGCCAACGGAGACATGGATATGGAGAACGTGACCAGAGTTCGGCTGGTCCAGTTCCAAAAGAACACAGATGAACCAATGGTAAGTAGGAAAAGAAAGTTTTCTATACTCTCATAAAATCCCAACATCAGTTAGAGCAGCTAACTTCAACCTATGCTACCAGGAGATAGTAGGGCTTGTGGGGGAAGGAAGACATGGATAGTTTTAAAGAAATCAGTTTCCAGACCCTCATTTCATGACTGTCCTCCACCACCACCCAGAATTGTCGTGCTGACATCATGCCTAAGATATGCTGGTTCTCCATCTCACCTCTCCTTTTACAATTGCTCTTCAAATTAAAAAAAAAAAAAAGAACAAGAAAGAAAAATGTTTAAAAAAAAAAAAAAGGACATACCCAGTACTTTACTCCAGAGTGTGAAAACCTCTAGGGCAGCAAAGGAGCAATTTGAAATATTGGTATTGGTGTTGATAAATTGAATATCTAATGACATTGTAAAAAAAAAATCCTTGTATAAGGTTTGTGGCTTCCAGATCTTTTGCCTTCAACAAAATTAGAGGAAGAATAATTCAGAAGGCAAAGAATTGAATAACATTGCTAAAATCAAATTCCTTCCATTTGTATCTATGAATTAATTTTCTCAGTGCTTAGGAATAGCGTTGGAATAGAACTGAAGCTGACCCCTACCTCATTCTCATAGAATTAATATAGATTAGGAAGATCAAAGAAAGGCTCCTTGATGTTAACTGAACAAAAGCAGGGCCCAGGATAGATAAGGCAGAGTGGAGAAGATCCTGGCAAACCAAGTAGCACGTGCAGAAACTTTGTAGTAAAAAGGCTCTTAACTTAGTTTCAAAATGGAAAGACAGCACCATGGCTGGACTGTAGAGAACAAGGTGAGTGGCAGGAATGAGACCACACAAATGTTGAAAGACATGTTAAAGATTCTGGTCTTTACCTTAAAAACATCCGGAAGCAATTAACGAGTTTTAAGCAGGGAGACAAGATCAGATTTTCATTTGAGAAATTATCACTCTGAAGAATGGATTAGAGGGGAACAAGTGTGGGTATGGGGAGACCAGTTAAGAGGCTTTTAATATAGTAATACAGGGGAGAAATGATGGAACTGAACTATAGGGATAGATATCAAGTGGAAAGAAGTGAATAGATTTAACAAAAGAGTAAAATCAGTAGACCTCAATAATGGATTGATGATGGAGATAAAGGAGAAGCAAGTATCAAGAACGACCCTAAACTTTAGATTTTCACAACTGGGTAGACAGTGATGCTAGCTACTAAGACAGGGAACATTGGGAAAGTTCCAAGTCTGGGGGAGGAATCATATCTTTAGGGAAAAATATTCAGATTTAGTGCATTCATATCTTTTCCTCAGAGCATAGGGAAGGGATATTGGGATGTAGAAAAACAAATACCTACTTAAGAAAGTTGCCTAGTTCCTCTCCAAATGAAAGGAAGAGTTACAGAGCATTGATTCTATGACTACAATTTCCACAGAGCCCTCAACTCTAAACATTTCAGGTTGTAATTCTCATTTACTGTGCTTTGCCGGTTGTACTCTATTATCCCAGCAACAGGCAGGGACATGCAAATCATCTTGCCCCTTCTAGTGCTCACCAAGCAAATCATTGACATGAAAGCACAGGCAGTGGCAGCTTTGGGGTTTCTTGGACAAATCACTTTATGTCAGTGGGCCTCAGTTTGCTCATATTTTGCTTAGCAAGTATTGCCAAAAACATACTTGACTAAATGATCTCCAAGATCCCACCTAGCTCTGAAAGTCTAATATTCCATTCATTCATTTTATATATTCATTCACTCACGTAGCAAATGTTTGTTAAGTGCCTACTATGTGCAGATAACTATATTAGATGACAGTGACATAGTGGCAGATAAGACGTGTCTTTCCCAGAGCTCACTTTCCACAGGGCTACCTACATTAAACAAGCAAATATGCAATTTAACATAGTTTGTTTAACAAGAACAGTTATGACAGAGCTATAGAGGAGAGAAGGCTGTGTCAGAGAGTCAGGAAGAAGGGGTGATCAGCCAAGCAAAGCAGACAGGAAGGTGAAATTGGCCTCAAGAAGGCAGCCTAGAAGTGTCTTGTGATCATCATGTTCTAAAGCAGCCCAATGACAATTGCATGGTCTTTTGTACGAAGGCTGACTACCTAGAAACATAGGTTGAGTAAAAGCATAAAATTGCATCCCTGAGTTACTTTTCTCAGAAAGTATAAAATGGCCTTAAATCTCCCCTAAAAGTCTTCTTAAAGAAGCCCTTCTCTCTTTCTTCTATGATCCCAGTGAAGGTGTGTGTTTTATGACTGTTAGTCATAAAGATGGGAATTATTTTATGGAAAATATATATCTTCAATAATATAATTCTCTTATATTTAATACAGCTTCATTTGCTTGCTTAGTTGTCTTATTAAAAGCATTATATTACTATACAAGATATACCCATATGATCTCTTTTTGCTTTTTTGGAACTTCTACAATGCGTCCACTATGCTATGTCCACCCTCCCAAGGGTGATGTACTCCCATTATACCCTTGTTTTCCCATTTGTAACATCACATTTGTAACTATTTGTCTATTGATTGGGACTCCCTTAGTTGCAAGTGATAAAGACCAAACTTGAACTAGCTTAGACAATAAGGGAAAGGCTTATGTAAATAAGGAAACACCATGAGTTTACCCTAAGCTGGGGTAGGTGCGGGAGTAGGCACCCAACCCAAGCTGGGCCAGTGCTTTCCCTGGAATTTGAGAACTTGGGAACCAAGAGAACATGAGTCAATTCCTCTCTGCAGAGAAATGTTTGGGGCAGACAAAATAATGAATGTTAACTCCAGTTGGTTTGAGGTGAACTTACCCTAGCCATGAGAGACCCTGTCTGTCTCATTCACTACTATGCCTAGCAGAGTATCTGCCACATAAAGGTTCACAGTAATGTTGGCTGAATGAACACATTGGTTTATTAATTTCAAGGATAGAACCTCCATCATACTATCATTTCCCTTATGAAATTAGATTTGTCTTACACATTAGTTTGCAACATTTTTCCAGGAACACCTTTCTTGGTAACCATACATGCTGATTGAATGTGTAAGTGGGAAATGAAACATGTCTTGCCTGTCACTTCTAAGAACTATAAAATAAGAACCATGCAAAGTTATATTTTGTAGAATTATACAAATTCAGACAGAGTCTAGATTATAAAATCTCAAATATTTTCACAAAGCTTTCTAACAGTGTTATTCTCCAATGAAGAAGATAAGACAGAGTTCCCCTACCCTTAATCATCTCAAATTCAAAACCAGTTTAACCAAGGGCACTTGTTAAAAATGCAGATTGCTAGGCTCCATTATAGACTTCTTGAGTACAAATCCAAAGAGTGGATTTAAAAATCAATATTATTTAAAAGGCTCCCATGTGATTCTTAGAATCAACCAGGTCTAGTGCAAAAATATGTTTATAAAAGCTTGTCTTTTAATGGCGAATAATTAGAAAACCAAAAGTAATCTATTCCATAGAATAATATTCTAGCATTAAATATGTGGAGCTTCTGTTTCTGGCCAAGATGGAGTAACAGGGACCAGATTTAACAGGGACCCTTTCACCTAAAACATCCAAAAAAAATTTTTAAACAGACAAAATTACATGAAAGAACAATTTTCAAGACATTGGACATCAGGCAACAAAGGACAGTTATCCACAAGAGACAGGAAGCAAACAAGATGAGCCTTATGATTGCCCCACCGTATTGACTTGAGTTTGCAGGCCACAGCACAGAGAGGGGGGACTGAGGCAGAGACCTTATCTGTGCATGCTCCCTAAATTGAAGAAACAAAACAAATTCTGCGGAGACCAAGGTACATAAAGTTCATAGGAAAGAGTATTGAAGAAGAGAGGGATGCACAAAGAACTCCAGAGATCTATAGAGGGTTCCCCTCAAGTATTATTCTCAATAATAATCAGCACATTAATGAGAGGGAACTACCTAGAGCTAAGGAAAGACCAGAGAACAGTGTCCAACACAGACTGCCTGTTACTATCTGCCAGACTGGAAAAACCAATTTGTGGGGCATTGTGTACAGTGCACAGGAAGATATTGCCTCAGGAATGAGGAGTAATTAGCCCTAGACAGAGAATTACAAATCACAAAAGCAAGGCTCAAAGGATCAAACTATTTCTAAGTAACCGAAATACATCTCAGAGCAAAGCTAAAGAATATTTATAGGAATAAAAAAAAATCTAGCATGCAACAAGATAAAATTCACAATATCTAGCATCTAATCAAAGATTACTAGGCATGTATAGAGAACTCTAAAGATTCCACCAAAAAACCGTTAAAACTGATCAATGAATTCAGTACAGTAGCAAGATACAAAATCAATATTAAGAAGTCGGTTGCATTTCTATTGTATCAAAAACAATAAAATACCTAGGAATCAAATTAAGTAAGGAGATAAAAGACCTGTTCTCAGAAACTTATAAGTCATTGAAGAAAGAAATTGAAGAAGATACAAATAAATGGAAGGATATACTGTGACCATGGACAAGAAGAATTAACATCATTAAAATGCCCATACTACCTAAAGCAGTCTATAGATTAAATGCAATCTCTATCGAAACACCAAAGGCATTTTTCACAGAACTAGAACAAATAATCCTGAAATTTATATGGAACCAGAAAAGACCCCGAATAGCCACGACAATCTTGAGAAAGAAGACCAAAGTTGGAGGTATCACACTACCTGATATCAAACTGTACTACAAGGCTACAGTAATCAAAACAGCATGGTACTGGCATAAAAACAGATACATTGATCAATGGAACAGAATAGAGCCCAGAAATAAATCCATGCCTATACACTCAATTAATATATGACAAAGGAGGCAAGAATATACAATGGGGTAAAGACAGTCTCTTCAATAAATGATGCTGGTAGAATTGGACAGATTAATGCCAAAAAAAAAAAAGAAAGAAAGAAAAGAAACTGGACCGAAAGAAGGAAACAAAGAATGGGAAAAAAGGAAAAACAAGAAAAATAAAAAATTTT